AACCGGATTTTTCTAGACGATCTGCTGTTTGCCATATTTTAGCGGTAATTTGTGGCTAAATCTGAGCAAAGTATGACACAAATCCACCGCTTAGTTTTTGAGAAAAAAACCAAATTGTGTTCGCCACTCAACTGAGACAATTTGTTAATTATTTCGGGAACCGGATTTTTCTAGACGATCTGCTGTTTGCCATATTTTAGCGGTAATTTGTGGCTAAATCTGAGCAAAGTATGACACAAATCCACCGCTTAGTTTTTTAGAAAAAAACCAAATTGTGTTAGCCACTCAACTGAGACAATCTAATATATTAATGCAGCAAAAAGTTAAGACTGTGATCGCGTTTGCTCGGTTTTGGCCCGACCGAATTGGCTCGGGCCGATACCGTTGGAAAGGTATTCATTAGTACATGTGTTTAAAAAAAAAATTGTTCACATATGTCATCTCTGTCATGAGTTATTGCGCTTTGAGTGACAACCTTACCTTTTCCATACAAATTCATATGTTTGGATTACAACAACAAATGTATGGCAAGCAGAGCTGTCGGCCGAACGGAATGAGTGTGAAAGGGGAATATGAAGGAGAAATGTGACGTCATTACACACATCGTTCGCTCGACGGCTCTGCTTGCCGTACTGTTGTTGGTGTAATCTGTTCGTATGGATTTGTATGGAAAAGTTTTTTTTTGTGATTTTTCTTTAAAATATGCGTTTATATAAATTAAAATAATTAAAATAAATGCAATTTCATTTATTTTAATGAAATAAAATGGTTTTATTTAAATATTTAACATGAAATGCAAAGCGAATAATGTGAATTCGCTTTATGTGCAGCATTTTGATGTGTGTTAAAGTGAGCGCGCATAAGAATATACACAGGCGTAAAGTGTATGCTTTTGCCAATTGGACTGGCACGATCTGATCACGTGATAATTGCTACTACTGAAATTCGTTTGGCCGTTTGTGTGTATTTGTTAGCGTCGGTTGTCACGTGATGGGAAGAATTGAGTCCAATTGGCAGTTGCGCATGCTTTGTGCCTGTATTAGTCATTTGTGTTGGTGTAATTGAAGCGTGTTTGACAGTCGCAAAGTGAATAGTTCGCATTGAGAGTGAAACTGAGTGGATTTAAGTAAGTAAATATATTTTTTGATGAAAAATGTGTGCAATTCAAGTAATTATATTGTTTTAAAGTGGAAATATTTAATTTAATTCTATTTTAAATTGGCAGTGCTAACGGGATATTCGCACATTTTGTTGGATTACATCATTACAGTGGATTGTGGCAGTCAGTGGATTCTGTGTAGAATTTAGCAACAAAAGCATTCGTTTGGTGTGTGACAGTGGCTAAAACGCGATTAAACCGTAAGAATCCGATTTTTCATTTCTTTAAATTAGAAATTATTGTTGAAAATGAATTATTTTAGTGAATAATTTTCATTTTTCTGGCAGTTTGAACAGAATTGGTGCGTGATTTCGATCGTAGCGAAGGCAGCTGCTACTACTGTGCACTGAGAAATTGTTTTGTAATAAAACACAACTAAATCGTAAGAAAAAATTGAAATTGTTGTAGAAAATAAATTCTATTTCGGTTTTTTTTTTAAGGATTTGTGATTTTTAATGAAAATATTTTATTTTTTTGACAGGTTGGTTGTCGAGACAAAGTTGGTTGCTGCTGTGTTCATTTGCAACTCATTGTGAACTGTTTGTGTACGTTTGGAGCCGATTTTTCTATCCAACGCTATCAAAACGTAAGAAATTGATTGTTTTTTCATTTTAAGTTGGTTTTTATGCTAAAACAAATTGCTTTTCATGTTTTGCTTATAAAATTGTTGGATTTTAGTGTAAATTTTTTTATTTTTCTGGCAGTTTGGACAGAATCGGTGCGTGATTCGTCATTGAGTGTACCTAACCTACACCAACAGAAATAATCTGGCTGGAGTTGTGTAAGAAAGTTATTCGAACGCATCAAAGTGAACTGTTTGTGTGCGCTAAGAGCCGATTTTTCAATTCAACGCTATCAAAACGGCAGAATTTGTTACTCTTAGGTTTACACAACATTGCAAAAACCGAAATGCAACTTGAATAACATAAGTTCTAAATATTTTTAAGTTTTAATGGCTTTTATAAACGTGAAGGTCAAAGTATTCAAAAGTTAAAAGAATTATATAAAGTTGCATACGATGACGATTTGGATTTTGAATTGTTGGTCACATTAATTGTGTCAGGTGTAATTGTTGTAAATACAATTACCCAAAGAATCTTTTTAAAAGATTCGGCAAAGTGGGGTGCACAAAACCTCTCATTTTAATTTTTTTTATATTCGAAAACGAATTCTGATAAAAATGTAATTTTCACATTATTTTTTCAATTTAATTTTGACATTTATTCGTGCCGTATGTATAGGCAAAAAACAAATATTATTTTTTGTAAACCAATAAACCGAGAAAGGTTATTTAGTATAATTTTTTTTACATTAGTAGTTGGTCGAAAAGTAATTTTGCCATCTTCATTCACCGGTTCGCCAAGGAATATGTATCAAAATTATCTTGATGCTATGTGCATAGTTCAACATTTTTGCAAACCGTCATTGTTTATTACAATGACATGCAATCCGAATTGGCCGGAGATCAAAAGGCACATAAAAAATTACGAGCAAGTCAATTTTCGACCAGATATTATTGTTCGTGTATTTAAAGCCAAATTGAAACAATTGATTAAAGAAATTGTCGAATTGGAAATTTTTGGTAAAGTGGTGGCGATCATATACACTATTGAATTTCAGAAGCGAGGGCTTCCACATGCGCATATCTTAATTACTTTGAAAGAAAATGATGCAATAGTTGGGTCTTCTGTTATCGATAAAGTTATCGGACACGGAATCAATAACACGTGCCATTCAAATTTTCAACCATTCCATCAATTTAAAAAGAAAGAAGTGTTTATTATTGGCCGATTCATCGGCCACTTGGCGACCCTAGTTTGTTAATTATTTCGGAAACCGGATTTTTCTAGACGATCTGCTGTTTGCCATATTTTAGCGGTAATTT